AACTGGCTCTTGAGTGTTATAAAATTCAGGATCTTTTTCCCCCTTCTTAAGTAATTGATATCATGTTTCATTGTCTTTTGGCATTAAGTGTTTCTGTGGAAATGTCTGAAGCCTGAATTTTTCTCATACTTGCTTTATTACATTTTTCTAACTTTCCATCTTTATATTCAGAATATATCTGTGTACTCTAATACTTCAACTTTTCCTTGAAGCTAGGATGCCCTTTCTTTTCTTTTCTTTCTTTTTTTCCCCTACTTTTTTTTTTTTTTTTAATTTGAGACATCCTCACTCTGTGTCCCAGGCTTGCCAGGCTGGTGTGCAGTAAGTTTTAGCTTACTGCATTCTCAATCTCTTGGGCTCAGTTGATCCTTCCCCTCAGTTTCCCGAGTGGCTGCGACTACAGCTGCATGCCACCATACCCTGCTAATTTTTATATTTTTAAAAATAGAGATGGTGTTTTGCCGTTTTGTCCAGGCTGGTCTCAAACTCCTGGGCTCAAGTATTCTGCCCACCTTGGCCTCAGGGGGATTGTAGATAGGTGTGAGCCACTGTGCCCAGCTTGGATATGCTCTTTTGGTCTGCATATGCAAATCTTATATTTTTAGAAAATAGAATTGTTAGAAGTTAAACATTCAGTTTTCATGACTTGTGCAATATTAAATCAAGAAAACATTTTCTCACAGTCTTGCAAATCAAAATTTTAATTTGTTTATATTCCCCTTTTCTGTATCTGTATTTATGGTACATTGAAATTATAGCATATAATTTTATCATTAAGTTTGTTAGGACAGCATTTTAATTAATTAAGTAATTTGAGACAGTCTTGCTCTGTTGCCTAGGCAGGAGTGCATTGGCATGACCTCTGCTCACTGCAGCCTGTGCCTCCCAGGTTCAAGCTATTCTTCTGCCTCAGCCTCCTGAGTAGCTGGGACTACAGGCCTGTGCCACCACGCCTGGCTAATTTTTGCAGTTTCAGTAGAGAGATGGTTTTGCATTGTTGGCGAAACCAGGCTGGTCTCAAACTCCTGACCTCAAGTGATCCACCTACCTTGGCCTCCCAAAGTGCTGGAATTATTTTTGGGAGGCTGAGGCAGCCTCCCACTTTGGTGAGCCACAGTGCCCAGCTAGGAAAGCATTTCAAAGTGTTATTTGGTCTAGTAAGTAGTAAGTAGTACTGTAGATGATACTTTCATGTCTGTGGATGCCTTTGTTTTATTAAGAAAAATTCCTGAGTGTAATTACCTGGATCAGAAGATAAAGACATCTCTAGTTATGTGCTTTTTACAGTTTTTTTCCCTAGAAGGATATTATCATAGTAATGTACAGATGTATAAGCTTTAGTGAAATTTCAGGAACTTTGGGTATTAGAAACTTTAAAACATACATAATTTAGTAAGCATAAAATAGTAGTTTTAAGTTTATAGTTCTTTTAAGTATAAGGTAATTGTGCTTATTTGATAATTTGATTGTTGGAGTTTTTGAGCTAATTATACTGAAGTTATAGATGAGGTAATAAGATCTGAGAGGTTAAAAGCAGCTTTGTTAACTTGTATAGACTGTCAGTCCTGGCTGTTTGGGAGACTGAGGTGTAATCACTTGAGCCCAGGAATTTGAGACTGTATCGAGCTGTGTTCATGCCACTGCACTCCAGCCTGGGTGACGAGTGAGACCCTGTATCTGAGAGGAAAAAAAAGATATTTAAGTAATTCTAACGAGCATTTAAGGTTGAGAACTTATGTTGCAAAGGTTTGAAATAATTGCAGTCATGTTTAACATTTTTTAAGATAAATGTTTTCTCTATGGACGTATTATCAAAACGACTTGGGCCCTGTTGTCTCATATACGAGAACAGACTTTTCTTTTTTTTGAGATGGAGTTTTGCTCTTTTGCCGAGGCTGTAGTGCAGTGGTGCCTTCTCCGTTCACTGAAACCTCTGTCTTCCAGTTTCAAGCATTTTTCCTGCCTCAGCTTCCCGAGTAGCTGGGATTATAGGTGCCTGCCACAACACCCAGCTAATTTTTGTATTTTTAGTAGAGATGGGGGTTTCACCATGTTAGCCTGGCTGGTCTCGAACTTACCTCATGATCCACCTGCCTCGGCCTCCCAAAGTGCTGGGATTACAGATGTGAGTCACCGAGCCTGGCCCAAAACAGACTTTTCTTAGCAACATCCCCAAATGCGCATATATATATATATATTATATATATATATATATATATATTTTTTTTTTTTCTGTTTCAGGCTGAGGCCCTAGATCAAATGCATATTTTTAAGTTTTCCAGGTGAGTCTGATCAACTAGATTTGGCTTACTTTGGAATAAGGACAGGGTTTGGCCTGGCATTCCAGTTGAATCATGGAATAGCTGGGGCAACTTTAAAATCTGTCTGAATCCTGACCGGGCGTGGTGGCTTACGTATGTAATCCCAGCACTTTGTGGTAGGTGGACCACCCAAGGTTGAGAGTTCGAGACCAGCCTGACCAACATGGAGAAACCCCGTCTCTACTTAAAAATACAAAATTTGCTGGTGTGGTGGCACATGCCTATAATCCCTGCTACTTGGGAGGTTGAGGCAGGAGAATTGCTTGAACCTGGGAGGCAGAAGTTGCGGTGAGCTGAGATCCCGCCATTGCATTCTAGCCTGGGGGACAAGAGTGAAACTCTGACTCAAAAAAAAAAATCTATCTGAATCCTTTTTTTTCCCTGCATAATTTATAAATGATTGTCTGTTTCTAATCTGTAAAATGGGGAGGATTATATTTACCTTGTTATGGTTACGATGCGTATCTTGCTATTGTTCTGAAGTTTAGGATATTGGTACCTTAGATTAACTTTAGCTGACTACAGTTAAAGTTAATCTAAGGTACCAATATCCTAAACTTCAGCTCTTGAGTATAGGATTTATTAAGAAACATTCAGTTGAGGTAATTTGTTCACTTTAGTCATTTCAGATATAAAGAGAAAAGGGAAAACAACCAGTAATTGTGCCATCCAGAGTATTTTAACATTTTATTATTTAAAAATATATGCATGTGTATATGCATAGTTTTGTACAAAATCATAGACGTAGTTTTTTTTTTTCACTTTTTGCTTGAAAACTTTATTAAAATAAGAATTAAACTTGAAAATAGAGCAATCAGAATGCTAGCCCTTTACATATAAAATCAGCAAGAAAAAGGAAAAAGAGAGAGAGAAATAAGGAAGGAAGGGAGGGAGGAAGGGCGGGGTAAAGAAAAGGACGAAAAAGCAAAGCAAAGCAAAGAAGCTTTGGAGATTTTTAACATGGAAAGTTTATACACTACTCGGATGTGCAATACAAATGTACTTTTCATTCTCTTACTCTGGAACTCCCCCTATTCCTGATAATGACAGGGATTGGTGATAGTGAAAATACTTTTTTGTTGTTGATAAGTCTTGTTTATATCAGCATTTAGCTTTGCTTTCTTCAAGAATTCTCACTCTTCTTCATAGGACATTGGCTTAGTGAGGGAGGAATGTCATGCTAATTGTCTTTCGAGGGATGGTCCTTGGGTTTTATGTCATTATTCCTGTTTGTCACGTCTGGTTCTTAAGTGCCCTCTGCTGGTGTCTCTGAAGGCGTGTTTTTGGGCTTTGCATTTGCTGCTGAAAACAATTTGTTATAAAATTATAAGTGAAAATGAGTTCATATAGTTATTATTGATTCTGTTTTTAGTATGTATCAGCTCTTATGTTAAAACAATTACAACCTATTTTATTTTATTTTAGAGGCAGTTCTGCTATGCAACTCAGGCTGGAGTGCAGTGGTGTGATCTTGGCTCACTGCAGCCTTTGCCTCCTGGGCCCAAGAGATCCTCCTACGCCTTAGCTGCCCCAAGTAGCTGGGACTATAGGCGTGTGACACCATGCTTGGCCAACTTTTCGTTTTGTTTTGTTTTTGGAGACAGAGTCTCACCCTGTTACGCAGGCTGGAGTGCATGGCATGATCTTGGCTTACTGCAACCTCTGGCTCCCATATTCAAGTGATTCTCCTGCCTCAACCTCCCGAGTATCTGGAATTATAGGCGTGAACACCCAGCTAATTTTTGTATTTTTAGTAGAGACGGGGTTTCGCCATGTTGGCCAGGCTGGTGTTAAACTCCTGATCTCAGGTGATCCACCTGCCTTGGCCTCCCAAAGTGCTGGAATTAAGCTGTGAGCCACCACGCCTGGGCCTAAGTTTTGTATTTTTTGTAGACAGGGCTTCACCGTGTTGCCCAGCTGGTCTTGAACTCCTCGGCTGAAGTAATCCACCTCCCTCAGCCGCTCAAACTGCTAGGATTACAGGCACAAGCCAGCCTACCTATTTTAATTTCTTGACATAAAGATGAATTTTTTTTTTTTTTGAGATGGAGTCAACTCACTCTGTTGCTTACCTGGGCCTCCCAAAGTGCTGGGATTATGAGTGTGAGCCACCGTGCCAAGCCAAGATGAGTTTTATTATGCTTTTTTCCACCAACAAGAATGAACTTTTTCTTTCTTTCTTTTTTTTTTTTTTGAGATAGAGTCTTGCTCTGTCTTTCAGGCTGGAGTGCAGTGGTGCGATCTTGACTCACTGCATCCTCCACCTCCCCGTCAGATGATTCTCCTGCCTTAGCCTTCTGAGTAGCTGGGACTACAGGCGCATGCCCCCACATCGAGCTAATTTTTGTAGTTTTGGTTGAGTTGGGGTTTTGCCATGTTGGTCATGCTGGTTTCGAATTCCTGGCCTCAAATGATCTGCCTGCCTTGGCCTCCTAAAGTACTGGGGTTGCAGGTGTGAGCCATCGCGCCTGGCCAAGAATGAACTTGAATACTCTTTTTTTTTATATACATGAAGAAATGTGCTCAGAAAGTATATTTATTTGATTAATTACTCAGCTTACATTTATTATAAAATGACTAGTATATCAGTATGTTGTCAGTGATAGAGAACCTTTATGCGTATTGGAAAAATATGGAAAGTGAAACTAAAAATATTAATATGCTGTCATTATTTTATAGATCTAATGAGGCGTCAAGAAGAACTCAGACGCTTAGAAGAACTCAGAAACCAAGAGCTGCAAAAACGGAAGCAAATACAACTAAGGTAAAAGAAGATAATTGTAAGAAACATGAATGTATGTCTTGTTAATAAAACTCCCCACTACCGGTTATAAGTTGTATATGTTGAGTATCACAGGAAAAAATAGGAAAATTGCCTATTTTAACCACATACAGTGAATTACTTCATAATTCTTTGCTGTTGTTAGTTTGGCTGGTTAAGGGCACTTTGAATACGAACACTTTGAACTTAAGGGTTTTAGGTATTATTATAAGTAATTCATTGTAAGAATATGCTGTGAACATCGATTTTTCCAGAGATGGATATATTTGAGTTGCTTTTAGTTTTTATTTTGTCATGTGTACTCTACTATGAATATTTCTTTATGTATCTTTGTGCTTCTGATAATGTCTGAAAAAGATTTCTGAGGCTGAGGGTGGTGGCTCATGCCTGTAATTCTAGCACTTTGGGAGGCCGAGGTGGGCAGTCAGATCACCTGAGGTCAGTAGTTCAAGACCAGCCTGCTGAACATGGGGAAACAGTGTCTCTACTAAAAATAAAAAAATTAGCCAGGCATGGTGGCATGCACCTGTAATCCCAGCTACTCAGGAGGCTGAGGTAGGAGAATCACTTGAACCTGGGAGGCAGAGGTTGTGGTGATTCAAGATCTTGCCACTGTACTCCAGCCTGGGCTACAGAGTGAGACTCTATCTCAAAAAAAAAAAATTTTGATGGTCAGCTTAAAATTTTTTAGGTTTAAGTAAGGATGTTTGGGAGAGTGGTTAATTCAAGATGTTAAACCCAAATTGACAACTCACCTTGTGCCTATGGTATTTAATTGCAAAATATAATGGTATAAACATTATTTTTCAAAGGTTCAGAAATCATATTAGTTAGGAAATATTGTGAACAAAGCTATGATAGTTGAAACAAACTTAGAAATCTGTTTTTGAAAATAATATTTGTTTTAAAAATAAAAAGTGCTTGTGATAAGAAAATAAGGTGCTCATGGGGACGTAAAAGTAAAGAAAAACGTGAAAAACCATGAACAAATTTGACGATTCTCTGGTCTGCAGAGAGGTGATGTTCTGCATATTTTGATGTGGTTTTTTTTTTCACATTTTTGTACCTGAATTTATCAATATGTAAATATTTCTATATGATTTTACTCTACCCAATTCATTTTTAAATTATATTCCCTGGACAGACAGCATTAACATTTACCTAGGGAATTGTCAGAAATGTAATCTCAAGCCTCTCCGCAGAACTGCTGAATGAGAAACTATAGTGGTGGGACCCAGCCACCTGGAATCCTCCAGGTTATTCAGATATATCTAAAAGCTTGAGAACCACTATATTTTTTTTTACAACTTTGAAACATTAATGTGCCTCCCTCAGGGACCTTTTTTAAAACTTCTTTTTCTTTCCTTTTTATATAAACATGTTCAAATCTCTTATACTTTTTTTTAACATGGAGTCTCACTCTTGTCGCCAGGCTGGAGTGCAGTGGCGCAATTGCAGCTCTCTGCAATCTCTGCCTCCTGGGTTCACTCAATTTTCCTACCTCAGCCTCCTGAGTAGCTCAGACTACAGGCGGTGCACTACCACGCCTGGCTAATTTTTGTATTTTTTAGTAGTGATGGGGTTTTACCACGTTGGCCAGGATGGTTTCGATCTCTTGACCTCGTGATACTCCCACCTTGGCCTCCCAAAGTGCTGGGATTACAGGCATGAGCCACTGTGACTGACTGGTTTTTTTTTGAGGCAGCGTTTCACTCTTGTTTCCCAGTGCAGTGGTGTGATCTCGGCTCACTGTAACCTTTGCCCCCTGGGTTCAAGTGATTCTCCCGCCTAAGCCTCCTGAGCAGCTGGGATTACAGGCATACACCACCACAGCAAGCTAATTTTGTATTTTTAGTGGAGATGGGGATTCACCATGTTGGTCAGGCTGGACCTGACCAACTCCTGACCTTAGGTGGTCTGCCTGCTTCGGCCTCCCAAAGTGCTGGGATTACAGGTGTGAGCCACCATGCCCAGCCAGATTATTCTACTTTTAACAAAGATAAGGAAACCTCCTCTACCTTAACTAAAGTCTTACTTGAATCCAGCTTTTTCCTCTTAAATTTAGACATGACAGCTAGACTTTTTGAAATTGTACCTACTCCTCGTGTAAGCAAAAAATAAATCACTAAAAGCAAATAGAATATGAGGGTGAATTGCAAAATAGGATTAAAAAATATAGTAAATTAACTGAATTTTCTTACAGATGAATAACATATTACATTGAAAGGGGATAGGGAAGAAAACAAGGAATCTAAATAACTGGAAAATAGTATCTTGACTAGATATCATAATAGTAATAAGAACCATGCATAAATTCTGTAAGCTAGTTAGGCGTATGAGCTTGTTGTTCTTAAACTGCTTTGTGTGTATACTTACATGAACAGATTAGTACATACAGTCTTTTGTATCTGTGGATTCTACATCCGTGGATTTAGCCAATTGTGGATTAATACTATCTGGGGAAAAAATTGTGTATATACTAACATGAACAGATTTTTTAACTTGTCATTTTCTAAACAGTGCAGCATAACCACTATTTACATAGTCTTTTCATTGTATTAGATATTATGAGTAATCTAGAGATGTTTGAAATGTGTAGGAGGATGTGTATAGGTTGTATGCAAATATTACATCATATGTCGGGGACTTGAGCATCCCTGGATTCTGGTGTCTGAGGGAGGTTCTGGAAACAAACCCCTGCACATACCAAGGTGTGACTGTATATTGTGGATAATGAGACCCAGGTTTCTCATTATTAGAGAAAGATGAATGCCTAAAATTAAAATCCTGTGGTGTTGGATTTGAATCAGAGATACAAACTCATTGCATTTAATATTGACAGATACATGAAGAAATATAGGTATATGTTTATGTATGGGTCAATATGTATACATTACTGTATTTTATTTTTAATAATTAAAAAAAAACTATTTCTTTTAAGAGACAGGGTCTTGCCCTGTCACTTAGGCTGAAGTGCAGTGTCAGAATCATATAGCTGACTGTAACCTTGAACTCCTGGGCTCAAATAATCCTGCCTCAATCCTGCCCAAGTAGCTGGGACTATATATAGGTGTGTACCACCATACCTAGCTAATTTTTTAATTTTTATTTTTTGTAGAGATGGGATTATGCTGTGTTGCTTAGGCTGGTGTCAAACTTCTGGCCTCAAGCGCTCCTCCCGCCTTGGCCTCCCAAAGCACTGATAGTACAGGCATGTGCCACCATGCCTAGTCCATGTGCAGTATTTATGGCTTTTTCTACTGAGAGGCTCTAGAGGCATTGATGCTTTAGATAGCAGTGAACATAGCTGGTGCCTCAATCTCTAATAATAATTGTTACAGACAAGCTTTTTTGATGGATGCCAAAGTTGGTGGGCAAAAACTTGAGAAGAAGGATTTTTGCATAGTCTCAAATTTGTATTAAGTATAAATGAAAAAAATATTAAATTTAAAGTGGAGAAACCCAGTAGATACCACCATAATCAAATACTAAATTTCATATCACCTGTAATAAGACCGTTGACATCAGGAGCCTCTTGATACAATTCACTGAATGGGATATAACATTATTTCTGTGATATTCTTGCCAGGTATGTATAATCTCATTCCAGTCATGAGATAACATCAGAGAAACCCAAATTCAAGGGCATTCTACAAAATAATCAGTTCTCTTTAATAGTGTCAGGTTCATGAAAGATAGAAAAACTGGACTATTACAGACCAGTGGAGACTAAGGAGCAGTAACAACTAAATGCAATGTGGGATTCTGGGTAAGGTTTTGGAACAGAAGAAAGGTATTAGTGGGCTTGTAGTCCCAGCTACTTAGGAGGCCGAGGTGGGTGGGTTGATTGAACTCAGGAGTTCTGGATTGTAGTGCACTGTGCAGATTGGATGTCTACATTAAGTTCAGCATCAATATGGTGACCTTCTGGGAGCAGGGGACTACCAGGTTACCTAAGGAGAGATGAATCAGCCCAGGTCAGAAATGGAGTAGATAAATACTCCTGGGCTGATTAGTAGTGGGATAGCGCCTGTGTTTAGCCACGGCACCCCAGCCTGGGAAATGTAGCAAGGCCCTGTCTCTTAAAAAAAATAAAAATAATTAAAGAAAACAGGTATCAGTGGGGAAACTGGTGAAATTTTAATAATGTCTGTAGTTAATTATAATATTGTGCCTGGTATTCATTCCTGGTTTTCATAATGTTGTACTATGGTTATACAAGGTGTTACTATTAGGGGAAGCTCGTGAGGCACATATAGGATAGGTTATTGATTTAATCATAGGCTGAGATATTGCATGCTTGTTGCATATATGGTAATTTTTTATTGCATCATTTTTAAATTATGTAATCTCCATATAAGGGCATCAGATTGAATTTAAAATTCAGTGAACTGAATACTAATAGTAAAAGTATCTCAATATGAGATAGTAATTTGATAAGTAACCGTTAAGTTTGGCTAAGTTCTAGCAAATAGAGGCCGTGATAAATCTGTTGCAACCTTAGTCTTGCCTGGTGGCTGGGGAATTTCTTTTGAAATTAATGGTAAGAATCTTGATTTAAGAAGTATGAACAACTTGCCTTAAAATTGAGTAGTTTTGTAGTACGTATAAAGGAAAAAAAAAGAGGTTATGTCTAGGAACTCATGTATCCCATATTTGCAAGAGGGAGCAAATGAAGAAAATGGTCACAATTAAACTGAAGAGATGGACCTGGCTGAGACTGCTACAAAGTAAAACAGCATTAATTGTTAACAAGACAAATAATCTGACTCTGCCTTTGTGTTTTACTTTAGTTGGAAGATAGAAAAATTGGCCTAGCACGGTATATTTTGAGAGAAATTTATTTGGAGTACACAAGTTTCTGGTTTTACTTTCAATGCTACAAATAAATTATTTAGTTTTTCATAGGTTGCTTAATTCTTCAGAGGCTGTGGCAGTACCGAAGGATGCAGGGTGAGGGGCTTACATGAACTGGTTCCGCC